CTTCATTTTGATATTTGACGCCGCCAGAATTTTGATGGCCTTCGCAACTAAGGCATCTTCTCCTCATATAAGAATATATAGACACTAGCGCGCTGCTCGTATACGTACTTTAACGGAGTTGGCGTCGGCTCTTCTTTGGAATTCCTAACGACGACGAAAACGATAGGGACGTATATATGAAAATGTATGTACATCTCTCTAAATACGTATACGAGTGTAAGTATATATGTAAAATATAGCGAAGCTCATTTCATGCGCAATTGTTTGATATTATTGATGTCACATGATATATAAACAGTATCATTTCAAAATTCCATTAGATGTTTTTTTTTACAATTTTATTTACGATACAAATAGTTTTTGTCAATTTTAAGAATTTTGTAAATATATTTTTAATACATTTATATATTTTTAGTATATATTTTTTGAGGATCTATTTGTATATTGTATATAGAAAATATTTTGAAAAATATACTTAAGCTCTGTGCTTCTTGAACAACGGCAAATGGTATAAGAAGCGCGCGATGAAAGGCGAGTGCAAGATCTCGTGAGACCACATCTCCGTTTTGCAAAGCTTTGCGCATAGGCGGATATATCTATAAGATCAAGAGTGATCTGACCCGTGGTAACTAGAATTACACTACCTAGAGAATTTTTCAGAATTTTATTTCGTCAGTTTTACATGAATCCGAATTATATGTAACACGCGCGTGTGTGCAGAATGTTTCTTGATATGAAAGAAATGATTTTTTTTTATTGTCGTTACACAGTAAATTGTTTACGTTGCAATCGCATGTGAAACTTTGAGGAAAATAAAATAACATATTATTGTGTGAAATACACAATAATATTTTATTATATCTTTTTATAATATATGTATATAACATGTTTAAACGTTAGAATGTTAAGATAGAAGCAACACTTTTGACTTGTAACTCGATTATCTCGCGCGTATCGAGTTAATAGTAATCTCTGTGACAACTTGACCGAGCTGTCATGTCATTTGATAAAATGAGATTTGATTGCTTGCGTGAGCGGCTTATTAAATCATTGATCTTGATGAATTCGATGGGAAAAGTGATGAGAATTTTCACAAGGAGAAGAGACGTATCGGCGCACGTATTCCGGATACCAAGTTTCTTGATGGATACCGGGATCAAGAACGGTTGAACCCCGGAAACTCAAAGGAAGGCGATTAAAGTTCGGAATACGTATATATATATATATATATATATATATATATATATATACGTATGTATATATATATACACATATATATACATATATATTGGTTATAAGAAATAGAAAGCAGAAAGAGAGAAAAAGAGAGAAAGAAAAAGAGAGAGAAAGTGAGAGTGAGGAAAAGAAAGAGTAAGAAAATGTGAGTATGCGTACAAAGAAGCTCCGACTATGGTACTGAATGAACGAAGTCTATTCTCTCCATTCTCTTTCATTCTCTTTCTGTGTCTCGTCTACCTCTCTCTCTCTTATAATCTTCTAAACCTCTCTGAGACTGCGTACTCAACTTCTCGCGTGTCAGAAAACCGAGTAAAACAGAAATTTCGCGCGATCTTTTGCAACCGCCTCCAGATAACCGCTGTTCGATATCGAATTAGTAAATAACTCAGTTATAAGCGACTTGCCGATTTACTTCTATATTGAACTTTAGGATTATTCTAGATCAAGATAAAAAAAGAATTCTGCGATACAAATTAATACACAAATAGTTGTAGAAAATTTTTTATCATCCTTAATTTTATTGAACTAAATGTAAATGAAAATATTTCTGTCGGAACGTGTACGTTTATAATCGAAAAATAAAAAAAAAATCAGCTCGACCAGACTAGACGAAATTGAGCGTGAGACAACGTATTTCTCGGCAAACGTATCACGTTGACATAAACCACTTATAGAGTCAGGCTTCGCACTACCGCAGCGCGATTCCGTGTGCACAGGGTTTCAGGGCTATATTCCGCGGCTTTGCAGCTGCGAACTAAGTTAAGCGAAGCACAAGGTCCTTATATACGCGAGTACGTGTTATGGTTACGGCGAGTTCTAATCTTTAAGGAATTCGGACAACGATAAAGACCCACGGGATCTCTCGGGGAACGACGACTTCTTTCCGACGCAGTGTTGTTGAATCTGTTTTCATTCGAAACGGCGCGGCCAAGCAATATCGACAAAAATACGAATTGCTAATAATCGAATTACCGAGTAATTTCCTCTCTAATGCACTGGTCTCGTTTCCCCGGAAACGAACGCAGACGTCGTCGGTGGCAGTGCAAAAACCACCGAATCTTCCGAGGACGCGAGCTACGAGGAAAACCTAACTCTCGCTTGTTGTTCTCGAAACGCGTTCTTATCGAGAACGCGTTTTGTAGACGCTATTTATCTTCACTACTTTCTAAATTGAAAGATAAATTAACGTTTTTGAAGCAGACACATTTTTTTACAGCCACAGTCTTGACAGTGGAAATATGTAATTGGCGATATAGTTGATATCTTTGTCTCTTGGAGGAATTATATATTTTTGTTGAAACAACACAGGTACACAAATTTGTTAATGTGTAGTAATTTTATTAAAATTATTGTTATATCTACAAATATATATATATAATCGACAAATTTATTATCCACAAAAATTTTCACTCGATATCTTGCCGTAATCCAAATTCAATGCCAACAGCCGTTGGCAACAGACGTCTTTTTCGAAGTCTATAAATACACGAGATGATGAAAAAGCTTTTGATAAAAGAAGCAATAATGCGGCTAATGGGCAAAATCGTGGGCGATATTGGCTACAAACAATGACTCGGTGCCAAAAAATAACTCTCGACTTGTTGAACTCACAATGTGTGCTTTTTGAGATCCTCGATCTGGGATCTAACGAAAACAAATTTTCGATTATTTTGATTCCGTTTCAAAATGCCGGTCTGTTCGCGGGGCGCTTTCACAATCTTTTCTGAACGCAACCGCGATGTTTACCGGTTAAATATCGTGATGTATAATCACAGCGGCTGAAATCGCGGTCTCAGTCGCAGAACAAATTCCGTCTCGCAGTCAAACTCTCGAATTCGTCTGTGTTAATTACGAGGATCTTGCTGCTGTTTATTTTCAGAGTAAGACGATACGCGCCGCAGGTTTCATTTCGCCGCGACAAGAGAGCTGAAAGCTCTTTCCGGTATATCTAACGCGTGCGTTTCCGCGAGCGGATACACGTTATTCCAATTACGTTGTCGCGACGTCAAGCCATATACGGCGATTAATATTGATGACCTGCTCGCAATGAAATAGAGCAATTAACAAGCCTAACAATTGGAAGATTAATTAAGAATAATGTTTGTGTTTTTTTTTTTTTTTTGGCGCAAAACGATTCATTAATCTCACGGAAAATTGGCGCGCAATCGAATTTCAAAATATCGAATTTTCAACGTTCCGGAAGACAGTTCCTGACAGCTGTTTCCGCGACGACGTAATGCGAGCGAGCTCTTTGCGTGACCTCGCGCGAAGGTGGGAGTGTTTTCTCCGAAAGCAAAGGTAGATTAAAACGGGAAAGGGCCGCGCGCGTTCGCTTAAAATTTTCTTAAGTAAGGTCGGCGTTGAAAGCGGGTCCAATTTACACTAGGTAGAGAAGAAGCGCAAAATTGCGTGCGTCTCTAACATTATTCGCGCTTGCTGTTTATGCTCGATAACCAATGCGCTGTCTGCGCGCTCGCAAGGAAAAACATTTTCTCTCGCTTTTTGCACTTTGTAACGTATATCCGCGCGCCTTGCGTTTATATAAGTACATACAGAGAATTTTGTTGTACAAATATATTTCTTTAGATATATATATATATTTATCTGTTCGGCGCAGTTTTTTGAAATGTTTTAAGACAATATTTTATAAGTGTCTGCTCTGGACACAGTAACGTGTCTGATATATTCTTGCAGTTTATATCTGCTTAACAACTAACTTGCGCTTTCTATACTTTTGTTGCATCGTAATTTTGTTATGTATGCTTTTTGTGCGCTTAAAAGGATTTTGTTCAAAAGCGCTTAAATAATGCTTTCTCTCTCCCTCCCTCTCTCTCTCTCTCTCTCTCTCTCTCTCTCTCTCTCTTCTTTATGACAAAATTGCAGATAATTAAGGTGGCGACGCGAGTTACGACATACACCGCACTCAAACATCCGATAATGCATCTAGTCGAAAGTAATGCAATCGAGGTGTTCCGATATAACGTAAACATGAAATAACTTTATTGGAACGTATTACACTCCGCTCTGTTAATGGCACTGCTCCTTCCTAGCTCCTCCTTGTCGTCTCTTATTTCTTATTCATCCAGTTCGCCTTTCTCTCCTGTCTAAAAAGATACTATCAACCCAGACAGTTCCTTTCAGATCTACTTTTCGTTGCTATAAGCTTGTTTCTGTGTTATCGGGAAAATGCTCCTCGCGATATCGCGATATTTCTATTCTGTCTAAACACAATTTTCTTTGGCAAGAGAAAATATAGATATTCTAACTCAGAGAAAAATATCGCGAATTATTGTATGTAAGTGTAGTTAAAACAATTTTTTTTTTTTCAAATGATTAATACATTTCTTTAAGCAAATAATCAAAATAAGCCAAATTTTCTTCCTGTGACGTTTTTCTTTGGTGTTACCGACTTCTCGCGTCGCTCCCCCGGAAACGGAGATTCTAATACGGGACACGGAAGGAGATCCGCGGAAATAAAACGTTCACTGAATAGCAGAATAGAAAAAAAACTGAGCAAACCAAAGAAAAAGATTCACATATGTAAATCAAAGACAGTTTGAAACTAAGAGAAATAATAGTTTTGAAGAACCGAGTGCTTATATACGCTTAAAAAATATTTCGCATGTATATCCGGGGTGCTTGACACATAAAGATTGTATTATTTTTCTCTTAATTTGATCGACATTCTTTCTATCCCACACAGACAGACTAATGAGATCTTTATTGGCGCAAGAAGAAACAAATAAAAAGATGATTCTTACCTCTCATATAAATGTAAGCTGTGCCACGCATATTTCGTCTCGTGAGTACTATGAGATTCAGGATGTTCCCGACTATGCCGAAGATACAAATAGTGGGCAACACGATACCGTAACTAACTCTTCTCAAAGTCTGCGTTCGAGGATCCTCCAACATATCCAGATCTTCCGGCAGTAAACAGATTCTCTGAATCTCGCTAATGTTGAGCGCGTCATCCATTTTGACGGCTCGCTCTATTACGCCTTTTTTTTCAACAAACACCTCTTCACAACTCGCGACAAATTTTTCCGTTCCGCCGCGAATTCATCTCTGAACATTTCCGCCGTACGCGCATTCTGCGCGTTTTGTTCGACACGCGATTAGCACGAAAGAGCGATCGCATTTTTTTTTGTTCAAGTTTTCCAGGAACGCGAGGACTGTGTCGTCGAGCAACATCTCACGCGAAAGATTGAAAACGGCATGCGTCACGAGTAAAGCTTCACATTCCGGTCGAGCGCGCGCATCCGTCAAAACTACACCTGTCACGCAACAGGTGCGACAAAAGTTTCATTTCATCATGGAAACGACCGTGGGAGTTTGGAAGTCTAAAACAAGTCTTCCTCAGTTGGATTGCATACAGCGGCTTTACTCTCGATATTCGTCGCTACTTATTTCACCGAGGAATCCGAACGTGTTCTTCTTGACAATTTGTACGCCGCCATTCTCGAGCGGCAGCTGCGCTGTTCCGCACTATCCTGAAAACAAACAGTTGCCTCTATATATATATATTCCGCAAATCTAATATAGTACATGTGTACATTCGCTATGTAGCGATATTTATTTCTACGTGCATCAGTCGGTAAATTTTAATCAAAAGTAATTTGTACAAGAAAACTCAATTACACACATTTTTATACAAAATGTGTGTGATGATATGTAAAATTAAATAAATTAAATTTAAGAGACCAGTAAAAAAATGAAAAAAAAAGTCATCAGTTAGAAAAATGAATTAAAATATCTGTTTCCGCAAATTTATAAATGTTGCGAAACGGCATTACGCAAATCGCATTGTAAAAATTTTTGTTACTTCGAAATCGCACAAGTAGCAAAAATGTCGAATGATTGGAAATAAAATTCAATGTTCTATATATACACATGCACACAACGTTGCCAATGAAAAAGACGCTAACGAATCGGGCTTTGAATGTGATTTCGTTTTGCGGAAGAGACGAATGAGGAATTTAGAGAAAGAGAGATACTCTCATCGCGCAGACAGCGACGCAAAATTTGGATTCAGCAGTCGATTCCCTTCTGCTTCCGGATTTCAAGAGTCGCGGTTTGAGGAACAGCTGAAATTCAAATCCCGAACGAAAATGGACAGCGTTTCCTGACAGTTTCTCCCGCCACCTATCCTCGGCGACACCTCTCGCAACGTGCACCCAAGAGTTCCTCCCCTCGAACATCCACTCGGCACTCGGTTTATATTCAAGACGTTTCGTTCCGTGTCGTCGCAAATTCCCTCCGTCGGCGAAATATTTTTCTCCCGACGGAAGCAAAGGAAGACTTTCGCCTGTCGCACGAATATAATCTCCGCGTCTTGTCGCGTGAACCGAATTCCAGACGAAAAACGCTTCGCGCAGTCTGTGCGCGATGCATCTTTCTATATCGGTTGATCCGTCGAGCCAAAGCGAAAAATCGAGAAGCGCGCCTTGTATGTCCATCGCGCGTCGTTTTCGCAAAGTTTACGATCAAGGTAGTTGGGAGATCGCGTTTCACTTCGGAGACGTTCCTGGCGCAATTCCCGGCAACTTCTTCGCAAGAAGTATTCCGCAAGTTTTTTTGAAATGCGAGTTGCACTGATAGTTCAGATCGATTTTACTTCCGTCTTCTCCCTCTTCATCTCGTAGCAGAAAACAAAATATTTTTGTCTCAACTTTTTCGCGCGCATAACTATTTATTTGATTAATGTTTGTTTCGTTTTCGCCAAAATATTTTTGTAAGACATACAGAACGGTATGAAAGTGTGTCCATTATGTTGTTTGCTATTAATAAAGTTGAGACACAATTACATGAGATCGTATTGCTATTTCTTTCCTCTCGTTAGAGAAAGAAGAAATGTTTTTTCTTCTAAGTGCGGAAACAGCTGTCTGCAGTCTATTTCCCGTTCTTCGTAGTAAGAAGTGCCATCTCGTAGACTCCTCGAGAGAATTATAAGAGGGAAGTGTAAGGGAGTGCTTTTTTCTGTCGCGCACCGTAGATTGCTCTAGTGGGAGTCAGAAATTTAGGCAATATTGGAGTTTAGCTCGACGCCTTCGTCATGTCTGAAAATTCATGTATGAGAAACAAAATATGTAAATTAATTAAGTATTTTGAGTTATTACGCGTAAATAAGATTGCTACGGCTTTATTTTCCATTATTATTTGTTTTTGACAACAGAGTGTAACATTCGTGTTATCTCTATTGTTGTCTGTTTAAAATTTTGAGATTATCTTAAATTCCAATTTTCTATAAATAAAGGGATATATCCGTTTCTCCCTTTGCAAAAGTTTATCAAAGTGATTAGCGATTCTTGTGCAATCGATAAAGGAACAACGATCACCCGCCTGTCGTGTGATAACCTGAAAAGTAACAGCTTGATCCCGGATTGTAGACGCGCGGACATTATCCGAGCTTTAGCGTGTATCAAGAATCACCGGGATTAATCCTCGATTCTCTCTCATAATAATGTCCTGCAAATTCACACGTTTTACGCATTTGCTACGCAAATGAGAGGTGTCATTGCGAAATGAGCAATCTCCAACATATTTTTTGCTAATTATTTTGTTTTAGATACTAGTCATGTTTCAAACAAGATAGAGCAAAAAGTCAAAATCGAGCAAATGTAAAAAGTTTATGAATATATATTAAGGTAAATTCAAAATACCGAAAGTGTTATATTTCAATTTTCAGTTATATTTCATTTAGTTATATTTCAATTTTCAAGCTTACGGATGTTACTAGAAGTCATATATACGGCAAAAATTTTTCTGAGATACTGTCATATAGAACAGATTTTCGTCAATTCCAAAAGTACGTGAGTGAAGTAGAGTATAGTTTACTGAGTTTGTAATGACATCTCTTAAGTGTCTCCTGACGCGCGCACCTCTTTTCCAAGGCAACAAATAGAGTGGCACGTATGTTTCGTGCCGCTTTGCGGATAAGCTTATCGATCACTTAACAGGGGATACATTAACCTCGTCGCTCCCTGGCGGATCCTGTATTAACGTCTTTCCTCGCTTCGGTCGCGACTCAAGACGACAACGGGGTTTACGGTGTAATAGACACCCACTCTCGTTCCCGGGTATAAGCTATAAAATCGTGATCGGTAGACCGTCAAATTGCAAACGAGACCAGGCTGATGGAACAGGATCAGGCAGATGAGATCGCTCGCAAGTTTCCCGAAACTCATGGCGACGTGACGAAATTTTTAAGCAAATTACGAGTTACCTTTGAGGTTCTAAGAAAACAGAAGCTCGAGACAGAAGCTCGAGACAGAAGCTACGACAGTTCTCGATGAATTATTCCGACGCATTACTTCGCGCGGGGAAAAAACCACGGTTACGTTGTATATGAATACAATTTAAATATTATTAACATAACATTAGACAAAAATTATCGAGCTTTCTTACGAAAATCGCGCGATTAACATTGCTAAAACATTTGCAGCAAAGATTTTTATTTCTTATTATTCTGAAAATATCGCTAAAGAATTAATCATAGATTTTCTTTCGAAGTAAGTCGATCTTGTTTTAACATTGATTACGCGTCACGCGTGTGTAATGAAAAATTTCTTTTCATCACTAAGAATGCAAAACGAAAACACGCTGTTCTTATGATAATCTGTGCGCATAAAGATCGATAGAATTTCGAAACAACAAACGAGATCATAATGGATGGAGTCGCGAATACGTCACGACGCGGAATAAGCTCATAATCATCGTGAAAACATTGCAACACGATCCGCATAAAGTATACACGCGCTTTAGTTGTTATTCACGTGGCTAGCACGTGGTTGTGGAAAAATCCCGGTAATAAATCACGGATTCCTGCGATGAAACAGCTTATTATTGGTAGAAAAAAAATCAAGATAAGTGCATTTTTTTCTAAAAATAAAGTTGTTTCTCTTTGTTATGTACAATTTAATAAGTATGCGATGTATTAAAGTTTAGCAGCCTGATACTGAGATGCTCTTGGTCAGGTGTTCCTTTTTATAGCGCTAGAATGGAGTGGGAGGGGTGTGGTGGAGGAGGGGTGGAATGGTAAGAAGGAGGAGGGTAGCAGTATTAGGCTGTTCTTTAAACACTGATGAAGTGAGCTGTAATGTTCACGAAACGTCGGTATAAAAATGACACTAACGCGGTTCAAACCCGAAAAAACATCTTTGTATGTTTAACAGACATTGTATGTGTGTGTGCGCGTGTGAAAAAACATCCTGATCTCTCGGTTTCGATTTTTTCGTCGTTTAACCACTTGTGAGAGTGACAAGCTCTCATCTCTGAAACTTCATTAATAATGTATATAGTATACTTAATACTTTGTACATATATTGACAAACTTGAAAAAATCAAGTGCGATATAAAACTGCAATCGACGGGACTTTGATACAGCGCAATCACGTGCGAAAAATCGACGACATTTTTACTTCTTTTGTTTTCTTTTATTTTATTTCGGTCCCGAAGGCCGCATTGTACGAGACCGGAGTGATTATTAATTCGAATAGGATGATATGGGTGACGATAAGAGTGAGTACCATCAATCGCAACCAAATTCTAAACGACCGCCGTCGTTTTTATTATTATCGTGACGCGATTATACGTGCGAAAATGAAAAAAAATTCACTACGCGAAAACGCACGAGTTGACGTTCGCGCTTTTCACCCCAATGAATATATGTATAATAATTAATATTCCGACGTAATATACGACAGGAAACGTAGGCGACGTGGAGAAGAAGAAGAAGAAGAAGAAGAAGAAGAAGAAGAAGAAGAAGAAAAGAACGACGCGGAATTGACAAGTGGTGCAAAAATCTCGCAGAAAACTTTGCAATTTTCTCAACCACGTGTGCGAATGTGTTTCGCAGGTGACAAACTCCCGCAAGTTTTACATCGAAGGAGAACCTTACAATCTCCCTCTCTTTTCGCTCTTCCTCAATCCACACAGCAGCTGCGACTTAAAATACGTAAGAAAGAAAAGTCGGGCATGCCGGGCATTATGTATTCGCCTTCCGCGAGGACGTCGCCCAGAACAGTCTTCTGAATCGTCGGAATGTATTGCGCGGGGCATAGAGAAACGAATCGAGTCGATTTTGCGCTTACAACGCGTCTCCTCGCTACTAGCTGGTCTTAGCATAGGTCTTTGTACAGTTCGTGACACTTCTAACCGCTTTCGAGCGACTCTCGCGGACAAAACTTTGCTCAGTAAAACTTATATTTCCCTTTTCATCTCGCGGTCTCTCTTTTCTCTTTCTAAACAAGATATTTAATCCCAAATCCTTTTGGCAAGACGAAACAATTTTAATAAACGCCATAGCTTAGGAGTTTAAAAAACTCGTGAAAAACTCAGCAAAGTCCGGTAACAAAACTGTCTGTGATGTTTTTTGGCGTTTTCTTCTCTTCTACTGTTTTCTTCAACGGAGCAACTGACAGAGAGAAGAGACATCGTGGATAATTGAAAACCAAAAGCGCGCTTTCTACGCGATCTGAATAAACTGCGATAT